CCCGAAGCAGCGCATTGGGCAGCCGTTTCGGAGGGCTGGGGAACACCCAGATCTTTCTTGTTGGTTGTGGCTGCGGCTCGGGTGAGGGGCGCGTTCCGAATACAAGTCACTATTACTTAATAAGACGCGTTTGCACAAGAGCAGTCCCTCGAGACGAGAAGAAGAGAGAAAAAAGAAAAAGCAAAGTGCTCTATGTGCAGACCAAGTGCGTGCAGCTTGGCATTAGCGCCCAGCGCCAAGACTGCAACTTGGAGTCCTCGGAAGAGCAACGAGCAGTTACTCCGGAGCCCTGCAGAGATGACCTCGTTGGCTCGCTAATCAGACCTGGCTAGAAACTGACCGAGGTTTTGATGAGCGAGAGCCGTAGCTAGAGTACTGGTTTGTTTACCACATACGAGGGGATATGCGGTCCCAGTGCCTTGGGTACCATCTGCTATAGCAGAGCTGTGGTGCAACGGCTGCAACGGCCGCACAGCATCCGGTAGCGTTGCGTCTGCACCCCTCCCATCCAAGCTGCTCGCAGCACGGAAGAGCCATTGCTTTTTCTCTCTTCAATCCTCTGGTGGGTTATTATGGCGTGCATATTTAGTGCCGAGTCAAGCACGTTAGCGCTGGACGTCATGGCTCTGTTATACTGACTCGGGCAGTCCGAGGCACCAACTGGGGCGGGCAGCGGTTTTCATTAGCGGCTGCCGCAGCTGAACCTGGTCTCTGCAGCAGCAAGTCCACCTTGGATGGTCACGTTGCATCAGAACATCAGCCAGCTTCCATAACGCTCGGTTGGTCAACTGCATGCAGGAGTTTGCATATTGCAGCAGCCAATGGGTCCTCCTCGGGACCAACACTGGCAGGCGCCCCGAGGCATCTGTGGTGTGCTGTGCTAAGATGTTGGAGTGGCATTACTGCCTTGCCCACTTAATGGCACTTATGCAATTAGACAGGTGCAGATATGGAACAGCATGGTTTCAGATGGTGTCGAGACAGCAAGAAACACTTGCAGACAGAGAGGTATTGGGATTCCAGTGATTCAGTTTGGGCAGGCATCGCGCTATTGTGCAGAGATACCGATGGACAGGCTAAATCCGTGACCGTTGTGGCTAAGGGTTTTCACGGCCATTCAACTATGGCTTGGTCAAAAGTATCACATTGTATAGAGCTACTTGGCTGTCTTCAACAAACAACTTAAACATACCTAATATAATAAATAGTTCTCATATCCTTTGTCCTCCCAAGACGGGCACTCAAAGCCACCTGCGGCAATGAGCATCCCGCCTTATGTCAGCATTCTATCGCCAAAAACCGGCCTTTGTTACCCCTCTCTAATTGGGCAAGCGCGTCTCGCCAGGGCGCGTCCCTCGATCGCTCACACGCGTAAACAGCGTCTTGAAAAGTCCGAATTCAATTTAAAGTACCTGCTCCATTCGACTCAATGCCCTCCTTGCATCACGACTACCCGCTCGGTCTGTCTTAGTTTCACTGGATTCCTACAGCATTGGCATAGGCGTCATCTTTTTCTTTCTTTAATTGTGCATTTTATTTTACCTGCATCATCCTTGTCATTCATATCCGGCGCTGCTTTCGTCACATGTAATGGCCCTCGCCCTTTAGATACCCCCTCGACGACCTGTGCCAGAGTTCGCGTCGCAATATATCTTGCCCGCCTTGTATCTCCTCCAGCAGCCTACGACCTCACGACAAACTGCCATTTCATGCGTCTTTCAAGAACAAGGGAGAACATACGTGCAGAGCCCGCTAGCCATGTATCTTCCACGCTCTTTGATATCAAAACTGTACACGCATCTGCAAGCCACGCGACATCCACTGTCCCCGCCGGTCCTTATCCTCGTCGCATTAGAACCCGATGCACTGTGCGCGTGCCGAATCCTCACGAGACTTCTCAAGCATGACTATATTCCACACAAGATTCACCCCGTAGCCGGGTACAGCGATCTCGAGAAGGCAGGTGCCGAACTGGTAGCCCCAATGATGGAGTCCCAGGGCGGCAGTGGAGGCGTCGTCGTGTGTCTTGGTGTCGGGGGTATGATGGATCTTGGGGAAGTCCTCGGTCTTGAAAGCCAACCCGAAGCCCCTTACTCAGGTGTCGAGGTATGGGTCATTGATGCCCACCGACCCTGGAACTTGGGCAACGTATTCGGCGGCTTCCCATTGGAACCGGCCGCGGAAACTTCAAGCTCGTACCAGTCCAGAACTCCACATGGCGTGACGGAAGGCCGAGTCCAAAGAGTATACAACCCGGGCAAGGGCGGTATCGTTGTTTTCGATGATGGTGATGTTGAGGAGGACTTGACCGGGGAGCGCGACGCATATCTCGCATTATTGGATATGCCCGAGATTGAAGACAATGGGGAAGATCTAGGCTCTGACGGTGACGAGAGCGACGGAGATGCGGATGGGGATGGGGATAATGACGGCCAACAGTCACCTCGCGCAGGGCAAAAGAGGAAGAGCTTGTCGGATGGACATGAAGATGAGGACAGTGACGATGAGGACAGCCGGCCTAGACAACGAAGGAGGAGCAATTCGGTATGTCTGCTATCCATTGTCAAATGACATTTTTCTTTTTGGTGCTAACTTCTGCCCAGTCGACTCCGATCCCAGATTCCTCTCCTCAGAGGCCTCAGCCGCGAGGATTAGTATCATTACGAGAACCATATTTAGGCCTATCGAGTGATCCCATTGAGCCTCCGTCAGCTGCTCAAGAAGCACCAGCCCCGTCCGCTCGATTATTGAGGAAGCGCTTACTACGAATGCGGCGAACTCACGAATCAGTTATTCGTCAATACTATCGAAACGGGTCCTGTTTTGCAGAACCCATATCATCAATGATGTACTCTCTCGCATCGGAGCTCGGTCGCGAAGACAATGACCTCCTTTGGCTAACAATTGTTGGAGTTACTTCGATGGAGCTCTATGGACGCTCTTCGGCTGGTATAGCGGCGCCTGTAAGGTCGTCAGATAGGAGGAAGCCCACAGGCTGGCTGGGTGTCCGTGGTGCACGAATACGTCAACTGCTGCGTGATGAAGTCCGGAGACTGAACCCACCAGAGATCACCAATGGCAAGGTTGCCCCTGAGAATACAGGCATAATTCCCACCACTGCTCGAAACCCCGAGGACACTGGCATTCGACTGTCTCCAGAACCAAGGTTTCTACTTATCCGACATTGGAGCTTGTACGACAGTATGTTGCACTCCCCATATCTATTCTCTCGTCTAAAAACCTGGAGCGAGACCGGAATCAAACGCCTTCACAAGCTGCTCGCGAAGATGGGTGTCAGCTTGGCACAATGCAAACAAAACTACACGCACATGGATATGATGCTAAAAAGGGAACTCCGAGCGAAGCTCCTAAAGTATGGGTCTTTGTACAATCTTGACGAGATGGTTCCCGCTGTGGATACGGACGGGAAGGATCGCGGGGGCGCCAAGGACGGCTGGGGTTTCGTCAGGAGCTGGGGATGGCGAGCAACTCTGAGTGCTGAAGATGTAGGAGTTGTCATTGGTGCCTTGTTGGAGGTTGGCAAGCACGCCCAATCTTTGCCAGAAGCTCCAGTCACAGCCGCACAGGCCTCCCAGGATCCCGACGAAGAGTTTGATTTCAGCGCACAAGCTGAAGAGTGGGTGGCCCGGTTCTGGGAAGCCTATGACGCGCTGGAAAAGTAAGCGAGCCTCATTTATCCCGTCCTTTTCATGTGAAGGTTGTGATAAGCTAACATGATGATAACTTAGTATCGATGCTCTCAAGGCTGGCCTGCCCACCGCACAATTCCTGCACCGTGCTATCTACCGCACGGGAACTTCGCTCATTAACAAGAAGCAAATCAAGCATCTGCGTGCTTTCCGAATGTGCGTTGTCAAAGATGGACCAGACGTTGCATTATTTACCCATCCTGCTGCTCTGACCAAACTCTCTCTCTGGATCGGTGAGGCTCTGGGTGAGCAGGAAAGAGAGGCTCATGGAAAACTATCTCACGGTGGACGCGGAACCCCCCTGGTCGTAGCCGGTCTGGATGAGAAGCGAGGGACATATGTTATTGTCGGCACCGGCGGTGGTGGCGGCCCCGATACCGCCTTTCTCGACCGCGAAGCAGTGAAACGAAAACAAGAGGAGCGAGAGGCCAAGGCGAAGAAGAAGGAAGAAGCCAAGAAAATGAAAGAGAAAATCAGAGAAGAGAAGCGGGCGGCAAAGATGGAAGCTGGCCAAGATGAGGAAGAAGAGTTGGAAACGGAGTCTGAGGCGTCAGATGCGTCAGGTTCGGACGATGACTCGGACGATGATGAAATGGAGGACCGTGACAAGAAAAGCTATGGCCTCAACAAGTTCGGCATTGCCTTTGCGGAGGTTGTATCGGAAACAAGTGCTCGGGTTCGGATAGACAGCTTTGACAACTGTGTGGTCGAAGTGAGGAAAGAGGATTTGGGTGGCTTCCTGGAGAGCCTCAGTATGAAGACTGTCGTGGGCTAAGGTATTGGGATTCGAGATGGGCTCGTTGGATATGTATGATATGGGCTCGCATTGGCGCTGGGATGAAAATGGGCTGGCATTTGTGAACAGGAGCGCTTGGGAGGAGTTTTCATTTTACTCATATAAGTTTTCCATTAGCCCCATTATAGACGAGCAATACACTACTTGCATTGAACTTTGATCAACTAAACCAACTCCCCTAACCTGTTGAGATTAGTGTTTGCGGACAAAGAGCCCCGTGCCAAGTTTTTTAACTCTTGGGCTTTGCAACCTGCTGGAAGTTAGCAAGAAACAAAGATCTGGGATAGGAAACGTGCTAAAGCTTTAGACAAAGCGTAGAGGGCAGAACAGCATTGACTTAGGACTTATAAATCACACTTGCACTCCAGAGATCACTTGCATTGAAATTTGCACACACAGTCTCTCACTTCTGGTTCATCTATCTCCTTCGTGATTGCAAGACAAGTGATTTCACGTTTGGCCAACTCAAGATGTGCGAAACCGTACGAACCAGAATGGCATGCGGCCACACCCTCGACCATACTCGGAGGGTGCCCAACTGTCCCTGCAAAGACTCAGACCCGTCGCACGCCAACATTGTAGAATGGAGATACATCCCGGGCACGTGTGCGGATTGCCACCACGGACCGGCGCGGTTCCAGGAGAACCGCGAGAACTACGAGCGCCATCGGGCGCTGATCATCCGCTGCTACATCAAGGCCAAGGAACTCGGCGACAAGGAGAACATGGCCATCCTGGAGCGGTTGGTTCATGAGAGGACTGTGCAGCTGATGAGAGAGAACTCGAGGACTCTGAGGGGTGCCGAGGGGGGCAGCTCGATAAATCAATAGGTTCTCTATATATGTATGGGTATTTCTATGGTGTCATTCTAAGACTCGATGCTGCTTGCTTGCTTGCTTGCTTTTGAACTTTGGGTGGGAAGATTAAAGATTATTTTGAGTGATGCCATGTAAATGAAAGCAAATACGCTTGCCAAACTTGGGAATATTTGTGTGTGTCCGTTTTCCCGGATTTTGCCGTTTCGAAAGAGATGGGAAGGGAAAAGTAAAAATGCCAGAAAGAGGAGGGTGGTGTTTCGCGGATGGTTGCGTCTTGATTTCAAACCCCAACCAACGATGGGAATCCGTCATCAGGTCCCAAAGGTATCCTCGGAAATAAAGCCCTTGGGGTCTAGGGACAAGGATTCCGGTGAAGTAGAGCGGGCGGGTTGCTGGATATCTCGTTCATCTATGCTGATTCTAATCGATATTGTTAGCAACTTGTAACATGAATTGATTCAAGGCGGTGTGACGGACATGATAGACTCAGAGTCGGCTTGTGATGAGATGTCATCTTCAGCGTCAGAGCTAGAGAAAGAGTGTACATCGTCGCTTCCAGCATACGTAAAAGTCTGGTGCTTGAGTCTAAACGGGAAACCTTGGAAGTAGGTCAAGGGATGGCCGAAAGCCTGATCGCATTTCTGTTCCTTGAAATCTTTCAAGGTCGCCAAGGGTTCACTCTGGAATGGGACGCCCGAAGGAAGCTGGTACATTGAGGGATCAAGACCTGAAGAGTTGCGTCCAAACCCGCTCGTGTCTTGGCCAGATAACTCCCATAAAATTTCCATAGTTTCCAGTTCCATCTGGGTTTCCGGGGTCAACGTGGCAAAAAGAACCTCTATATCCATTTCAGAGGGGTCGGGAAGGACATCAGCAGAGGCATTGGCCATGGATGTCGACTTCGGGGAGAGAGGCGGTGTGTCGACAACCGGCTCTGCATGTGTGCCAAACGAAGTCTCTCCAAACTGAGTGTTCCACCCCATGGACCTGTTTTTCGATTCATTGCCCTCATCTGTCATTGGAGGAGATGGCTGTAATACAGCTGGTAAGTTGCCGCTTTTGCTGTGCTCCAGTCGAGCTTTCTTAGGCTCGGCACAAGCTTGGCTATCTGTCGAATCGCACTTTGGTCTTTTCAGCAGACGAGATCCGTCTGAATCATTAGCCATGGTGGCTTATTTGATGTTGAACAATATAAGACCGTTGGTTGATTTGATTGGTGATTCGGGGAGGCTGCCCCCTGACAAACAGACTGGTTCTGTGTCCAAGGAACGGGTGTATTTTCTAGGAGTGGATCTTTAGCATAGTGCCAGTGGACAATTGATGTTATCTAGGCTTCCGTTGAAGAACTTTGGATATGTAACGAGATGCACGGCCGTTCTCACAGCCTCAGATGGTAGGGAAGGTCAAGGAGAATACTATTGATGGTCACGTACCCTTGATGGATGGCGACCATACCGTGAGAGGCCTCTCCAATACTGCCGTTTCAAATACTCAGCGCTACCGTCGTATATGCCACCTTAGGGCAGCTTACAAAATCACCAACATCCAACCAGGCACCTGGGAGGCTCAAGGCCGAAGTCGACGTTGCCCCTGACTAAGGACGGGGGCTCAAATATGGCACAGGGCTATTCGAGCATAGCTGGAAGACGCGTACGACAAGTTCGTGAAGGTTGGAGGAGGGGAACAAAGGCAGCCTTGTGTCTGTCCGCCTTCTTCATATTTCCTCGACTATCATTAGGCAAAAGAAGGACCTGTTGCATGCATGCACAAGGATGGTGCCACCCCAGTGGCGGCGTCCCGCGTTTGCCCCGCAGGCCCGGTCCTCCCACTAACCTTGGCACAGTCAAGACATTGTCTCCAAAGCACAGGTTAGACTCCCAGCTCTCGTATCATGGATGCAACCACCATCAGATAGGAATTCTCTGGCCAATATTACTTGGCAGAGGCAGCTTTGTGTGTGATTTTGCGTGCCTTCCCTGTCAGACCTGGGCGGGATTAGTCATCCAAGGCTGGCCAAGCTTGGTGGCCACTTATATCCGCCGTCTCTAGTGCTCCTTCTAGAGCTCTAGGGGGGGTAACCTTAGCTGTCACAGGGCCGGATGGGCGTCGCTCAAGAGGAACTTGGCTGGTAGTGTACAACACAATACAAGAATTCCTTTCTCCCTACACGGCTAGGAGCTACCAACCCATCCAAGCGTGAGGAAAACATGTGAAACCCTGCATGCACCCTACTTGGTGGTTCAGCTCCCCATGTACCCACCTCCCTGTGCTGGCGGTAGGTACTCAGCAGTACTATACCCACCGGCTTAGTACCGCCTTGCAGCGTTGCCTAGCGTCCCGTTTATCTGTCTAGGACGCAACGCGGGGCAGGTGCAGCTTCATCCCGAAAGTGTAAAGAAGATCCGAGACCAGGCACCAACCACAAGACAACACCATCCTGTCTGGCGGTGCGGACCAACCCTTAAACCTTACATTCGCTCCAGCTACGCCACCTCTTTCTTGACTCCCCTCGACAACAGTTGGTTCACCAAAGCCCAGTGCAACCAGCAAAAGCAACAATGGCACCCGCCACTGAGGACCAGGGAACGCCCCAGGTGAACCCGCTGATCTCGACACAAGGAAGCTCCGAGCTCCAGGTTATTCTTCACCCGCTGGTTCTCCTCTCTGTCTCCGATTACATCACGCGGCATACTCTCCGCAAGCAGGATGGCCCTGTGATCGGTGCTCTGCTGGGCCAGCAGAACGGTCGAGAGATCACCATCGAGCATGCCTTCGACGTTCACACCCAACCAGACGCCCAAGCTTCCGGGGGGTATTCCATCCACCTGGACGGCTTCCAGAAACGATATGAACAAAGTAATGCCGATGCCCCCGCCTCGCATCTTTCCCTTGGACACCCATGCTGACGCTCTCAACTAGTGAAGAAGGTTCACCAGGACCGCCAACTCGACTTTGTCGGCTGGTACACCCTCCTCCCGCTATCCGGCCCCTCGCAATCCATACTCGACATCCATCGTATATTTTTGAGCGAATACAATGAGTCTGCCATTCTCCTGGGATTCCACCCCGACCAGGTACTCAGCCACTCCGCAGGCGGTACACTGCCGCTCACCATCTACGAGAGCAACTGGGAGGTCGAAGGAAGCGGCAAGGCTGCCCCTGATAGCAACGAGGACAAGAACATGGACGATGCAGAGGTCGCCGCCCAGATCAGATTCAGGGAGCTTCCCTATTCCGTGGAGACGGACGAAACCGAGATGATCAGCATGAACTACGTGGCTGGTGGTGGCGGTAGTGCCGCCGTCAGCACGCCAAAGGAGGAGAAGCCGTCACGCTCCATCGAAACAAACAGCAAAGGGAAACGCCGGATCGTGGAGAATGAGGCCGAGGAGGAAAAGTCCGGAGATGAGGCCCTGACACGGGAGGAGGAGGAGACCATCGCCGCACTCACCGCCAAGGCCAACGCCATCAAAATGCTCCAGTCCAGAATCCAGCTCATCGGGTCCTATCTCGCAAAGCTGCCGCCATCCTTCGTCAACGGGGAGCCATCGGATGATGATAGCATGGATGTGGACAGCACCATTCCCTCTCTACCAGTCTTGCGTCAGATCCAAGCCCTCGTCTCACGGCTCGATTTGATCATCCCCTCGGACAAGGAGTCATTCGAACAGGAATTCCTCCAGCAAGTCAACGATGTCAATCTGACCGAACTCCTCAACAACATCATGCAGAGCACCACCCAAGCCAGGGAGGTCGGAAAGAAGTTTGGCGTCGTGGAGCATGCTAAGCCGCCGAACAGACGGGGAGACTTTGAAGCCCAGGGCGGGGCGTTCAGCGTCTTAAACAGTGCTGGAGACATCATCATGTGAAAAGGAAAGCTTACGCATGCACGATTAAGATGCATTACTTTTTAAATGAGCTTGGCGTTTTAGGAATTCAGTTAGACACGCATGTTTATGGAACCAGGAATGTAATGACCTTCCCTCACTATGCCTATCAATCCGACTTCTAACATGGGTCATGCGTATTGAGTGACATGAAACACTACGTTCTATTCGCGAGTACATACAACAATGTCGGCAATTTTTTTCCCTTTCTACTACCATCAAACTAAGAAATCCAGAAATCATTATTCGACGAACAAGCCATAAGTCTCTACCAGATTCCCACAACTGTCACCATAGCTATCGCCCGGGGACCCTGATGCTCCTCCTCATCCACCAGCAAAAGGGTTCCATTCAGCCCATTACCCCATTAGCAAAGAGATTATGTCAGCTGAGCAGTCTTTTCTTATGAAGGCTCGATCACAACCTTGATAACCAGCTTCCCATCATCATCTGAAGTCCTGCTTGCCAACTCAAATGCTTTACTGGCTTCGCTCAGCCCCTTGAAGCGGTGTGTGACCATGTCACCGAGGTTCGGCAGAGTCCACCCGAGCCCCTTCTTATTCGACGAGCAAAGAAGACGGATCCCTGTTGCGTATGTATTGGCATATCGGAACACGCCGATGATATCGATCTCCCGAAGGTGGGCAACAGAAAGGGGCAACGTCTGGACTGGGGTGCCCATGCCGACCATGACAACCTTGCCGCCAGCCTTTGTGGCATATAGACTCGTGTGCATGCACACTTCTTTGCCGGTGCACTCAAAGGAGACGTCAAATCCATCCTCGTCTTCTTCCAACGTAAACCCATTGCCTGCGTTGGACTCGTTCAGGATCTCCGCGGCAATCGCCCTGGCCTGGTCAAACGGGCCCGAAGATGTAAATGAGCTCGCGGGCGTCATGATACCGTCAGGAGTCGATATACCTGAACTTCCACGAGAACCGTTGATGTTTCTGGGTACAACATGTCCAGAGGTTGCAAAGCCCTTTGAAAGCGCATAGTTGACTCTGCCAGGGTCAATGTCTGTGATTGTCACAGAAGTGCAGCCCGCTTGCCTTGCCATGGCAGCAGTTAGTAGACCAACAGTTCCGGCCCCTATGACAAAGGCCGTAGAGCCAGGTGTAATGTTGGCACGATTAACTGCGTGTATGGCAACCGAGAGTGGCTCCAAAAGAGCTGCTGCATCATATGATACGTGGTCAGGGAGCCTATAAGCCGTCAGAACACGCTTTTTCAAATAGATTTCATCTGGTACTTAGTACTTGTGGCACCAATCTGCTGGATGGTTTATCCTCTCCTGAAGAGTCCCCTGGTAATGGGGGAATGTCTTCGCACTGCTTCTGAACCTCAGCTTTTTGCAGAGATTATACCTCCCCTTCCTGCAAAGCGCGCAGGTGTTGCATGCAACTCCTACTTCAAGGGCGACTCGATCGCCAATCTCAAAGCCTCGTACCTGAGGTCCAATGGCAACCACTTCGCCAGTAGATTCATGGCCCAGGGATAAGGGCTCACAGGCACATAAGTCGCCGTTGGCAAATTTGTTGTAGTAAGAAACGTCGGAGCCGCAGATGCCTGTTGTCCTAACGGCAATTTGCAATTCCCCGGGCGCGGGATCTTCAAGCCGTCTGACTTCCTAATGATAGGAATGATATACGTCAGTTCTTAATTTCTATTATAAATCCGACACACATATTTTCAATTCGACCCCTCGGGTCGAGGTACTCGTCGGGAATGGAAAAGAGGGTTATCTCACCAATCTGAGGTCTCGAGGGCCATGTAGAACAGAAGCCAAAATAGAGGGCGGCTTTGACCCATCAACGGATGGGATCATTCGTGAGTCAACACCCAAGGCTCCAGGCGCCATGGCCAATGTCGTGAGAAAGTATATCTACAACTTAAGTGAAGGACTGATGGCAAGAAGGAAGATGATATTCACAACCTGTTTTTTTAGGGGAAAATATCCGTGAAAGATGCGAGAGTCTTGGGAAATATCTCAACGAGTAAGCTCAAACACTTAATCGCCTCAGTGTTAGATTCTAAGCAACGTTGAAGAAGGCCCAATGATGACTGGACATTAAGGCGAAGGAGATGAGGCAATGTCTAGCCCAGATAACTGGCGAAGGAAGAGCAAGCACATGCAGAAACACCGCCACCGTTAAGTAGGCGAACAACGGGATTGCGGGGGATCAGGCCAAGTTTCCTTGTCTCTCCAAAAACTCTCTTCCAGGGGCGGCCAGGCATTACGCAACCTCCATCATTAGCACACGATGATCTACCCAGTCACAATTGAATCACTTATCTGGGTCAAGCCCGGTGTATAAAGTGTTACATGCTTGACGAAATCAATGCCTGTACTCGACATACTGGCTGGGGTCTGGCAAAATGGTCTCCTACCACGATTCATTGCCGGAAGCGGTGACTGAACAAGGGGTGTGGAGGTCTGATTGAACAGATGCAAGGACAGGGGTTGTAAGTGACGGTTTCGCAATGTGATTGATCAGGGCTCGCTGTCCTCATTCAGAACCCAATTTGAACTCCCGCGCTGCCGACTCAATTACATACGAAAACGACAGCTCGTGGCCATCTCACGGAGGTGGAGCCATGCAGTTAAAGATGGGTTGCAGTACCCTGAGAATGGTGGGTAGTGTCCAGGGAACTGCCCAGCCAACATGAGTCGTCAACATGAGTTGCACGGGAAAAGCTGTCTTTCAAGACTGCCTGCCCATATCTTAGTCGCATATAGGGCTCATGGGTCGCTCAGCCCAGTGCTAGCGAAATGGTTCTCCTGCTTGCTCTAATAATATCGAGCAATGTCGGAATAGCCGGCCAAGATGGCGGGATCGAAACCATCGTTCAGTTTGTGCTTGATCCCTTGCCCTCTCCGACGATGGGTCAACGACCAAGAGCATGATGCTGATACAGTGCGCTAAGCCAAGAACGAGTTGCGCATCAGGTTCAAATACATTGGGAATCCTATCGCTGAAACGGCCTGGACATATTAGCACGGCAGCAGTGACGGCTAAGCAAGGATTAACATGGCAAAGGATATGAACAAGGCTAGGCGGTTCCACATTGATTCCAATAGACGGATGCGAAGTGATATTATCCGTGTGGATAAATGTACCTACCGTAGGTCACGACTTTGCCCTGTCGTAGAACTCGGCTCAGATGCCCACCTAGTACCAAACATGAAGATTCGGCATTCGTCACATTGCCGCGAAAAGGCGAGCAGACATCAGTCGACTTGGGCATTGATTTGGATGCAGAAGAGCAGGGAAGCAGGGAGAAGGAGCGTCAAGTCCGTGATGGCGTGGTCCCAGTCACAGCGCTTGCCGAGACCATCAAGAGCATGTTCGAAGGGCCATCACTCTGCAAATCCATCATGGCTGTCACAGAGACAAGCACAGCGATGGGAGGTACCTGCCAGATAGCCAATGGGTACCTGCCTGCCTAGCACGCAGCGTCGGCAGCAGGAGGAAAGAGCCACAGGCCTCGAGATTGCCGGAAAAGTAGAGGAAGGCCCGAGGAAAGTTTCGGAAGGAAGACCGCATGTCGAGCAGAGGCACAGGTGCAGGGTGACCAGCATGAAGGGGCATGCAGCGGACAGGCGACTGGGTCTTCCCACTGGCTCCTCCTCCCCTGGTCTGGTCCCTCCTTGCTCCAGCGATTCCCAAAATCTCGACTCTCGCGCTTTCAAGTGTGGGCGTGGCAGGCGGAGGCGCACACGGCGTCGGCATATACGCATTTTTAAATGGGTGCTTCCGATCTGTCGCCATCTTTCGCCAGTGGTTTTTCTCGAGACACCCCCCTCCCGACCCAAGATGCAACCGCTGGCCTACCATCGGACGGATATCTGTCGATGGTTGCCAGCAGGGATCTCTCAATCTTCGCTCTGATAGGGCACGGAGCAAAGCGACCACCACCATCACGATGTCTTCGCCCTTCTCCAAGGCCAGCAGCTCCCCGCAAATTGACCCCAAGGTAGCTTTTGTTGCCATTACGGCTCAGGTGGCGTGCGGCCGCTCGGAGCTCCTCCAAATATCTGATAGGCTTCACCCTGGCCACCCGGGTCTGTAGATGCTGTCGTCAGCATATCTCCCGTGCATATTGGGTATCTCATTTCACGATATACCCCGGGTGCCACCACCCGCGCCTATCAATATCGCTGAAGTGGTTGCACAACAGACCCGCTCATTGTTTGTCCATTCAGTTTATCTCCATTGCCTCCTTGCTCATCATTGACTCAAGTGTTCGTGCTGCTGGAAATGATCAACATTATCTGCCATCATATGGTCTTATCATTCTTGTCCGAGTGGTGGTTCCGCACCTTTGCAACGTCCATTTGACATCATAAGGGAAAACGACACCCGGCGACTTTTTCCTACCTTTCAGCTTGTCCGTTCGTTACCGGTGCCCTTGATATTAGATTAAAAGAAGCGAAAAGCAGGTCGGTCGCTGATGTTTTCTCCGATATCATCCATCTCTATCTCCACAGAAGCTCCGGGCATGAGTTCTTGGTATAATAGCCAAGCTTCGCCTGATGCCACTCTCATTTGGCTAGCGCTGCCCATCATATCGGAGCGATCATACGTTGAGCGCGGCAAACCCTTTCGATCATTGGCCTGCTACTCCTCACCTGTCATCTTGACACCTACGAAGTCTATGTATAGGGATATCGGGGATCTTCCCGTCTAGCCAATGAGCCTGCTGCTTGCTTTCCATTGTCTGGAAGCGCCACTGAACCGACTGCAACCTGCAATATCAGATGACCGGGTCCAGCCTATGCAGTGTATGTGTACTCAAGTGGGTGACAGGAGAAATGAGACACCTAATGGAAGAGTTAGTTATAAACAGACTACTTTTTACAGTCAATAGAAAATTTCAGTCGTAAAAAATGGAATTAAGTGATAACATCCACTATATTGTCTCTATGGTATATATTATTAGCACTCAATAATATGATAATACCGATCGCAGACTTGAAAATAAGCAGCTTAATGTTTGAGTGTCTCAATTTCAATGTCACCCACTTGGTACTATCACACTGGCCCTATGGCTGCTGGAAGACAATCTTACCCGTTTGGCCTGGGTTCGCCTTTTTAAAAGCATGACTGCCTGAGCTGCTCTGACGCAAGTCATACCCTGCAGCACCAATGATTAACATAAGACTGACTGGGTTCGTCACCCCAGGGTTTCTCCTAGGACCACGTGCCTGAGAGTCTGCAACCTTCCCGCCTGCCCGTGGGGTGGCCCTGCAGATTGTTGGGGGGTTACTGATTCGGGTAGGTAATATGTAGCAAGTTTTTGGTCGATCCGTTTTCAGGAATATTGCAGCATCTTTTCACCTGAGACATATGGAATGCCCATCTAATTTCAAGTAGTGCTCTCCAATTTTGCGTCATGGTTACTCGCGCAACCGATTTATGTTGGCTAGATGCTATCCTTAAGCAATGGCATCGTACACTCGTCCATGAAAACAAGCCACGATCTTGAAGAATTCCCTTCTTTCTTCCTCATAGCCATGCGAACCAAGGCATACCAGCAGACACTTGGCGTACTTTTGTCGAATGGGGTGTACGGCCAATACCCTGCCGTAATATCTTGCTCAGTACCTAGGCAGGAATTCTGTTGGAAATTTCAGGGTGAGTGGCGAGGCATTACGATCACAGTTCATTCTATCACGGCTCCTGGCGTCACATTTACTCTGTCTTCCTATCATCACATTTCAGGTTGACAGAGGGTGTGGTATCCGTGGTACCACTCTGAACATATGCTGTATCTCTGGGTTAGCCTTATCTACTTCACCTGGCTTGAAGCCCTACCAAACCGGCTCGATCCATCCGGGCCGATGGTATACACCTATACTTGTGTGCATCCACCACCAGCTCGCATAAACCACCGTCACCTTGCCCGCCAATTTCCGACGAGGTATGTACGATGGCTGCAGATGGGGTGTGGATGGCAAGTGAGGGGAGGGGAGAAACGGTAAGAAACACGAGCAAGTTTCTCACATGCAGATGCGAGGAGAAAGCACATGCATTTTTTTTTTGTTCGAAAACGGGTCACGGATTACTGAACTTGGGTAGCCTACGTGGCGGGACGCCCGTTTGTCTTTGCTCCTCCCATGGGGTGATAGCGTAGCAATCATCTCACCGTCAGTCAGTCCGTCCGCTTCCAATGAAGAGATGGGTTCAAGCATGTGCGAGGGGCGGCCTCGCGGTAGATGATACCGAGCCCGCAGGCGTGAGGTCATGGCGAGAGGCGAGTGGGAACAACACGGGGGAGCGCACATTTCGTAGGCGAAAACGGGACACTTTATGCTGAATTTCATCTCTCTCATACCTAATACAACTGGGACAATGTAACTTGGCGGTGGGCTACCAGGTTCTGCTTGCTTTCTCTCATAAAGGTCAGGATTTTGCGTGGGGGGAAATAATAACTCGAGGGGACAAAAAAAAGAAATTCACAATCACCGCCGTCCTCCGCTGCTTGAATCTTGGCGCTGCAAGGATTACTCAGAACGTGCTCGTCGCTAGGCGGCTTGCAGCATTCCTGGCATCCACACGATCTTCATCATCTTCGTCCTTGACACCAGATCGGCCGCTGGAGCCCAGTCGGCCGGTGCTTGTCTCGGCGCCCTCACCGGTCTGCCCTTCCTCGGGAACCTGGCCGATAAGGCTGCTTGAGACGCTGCGGTTGGCAGTGTCGGTCCGCCGAGGGACACCACTCCATGCATCCCCTTTAGGGCCCTGGCTTGCTGCAAGACTGGAGCGGCGGACGGTGGGGTGAGACTCACGGCCCAGGCGACTCAGGCCTCCAGAAGCGTCAATGGATCGGATGTCGGGTCGAACGGTCTCGAGCAAGGCCAAGGTGCGTCTCTCGGCTTCGATCTCCCGAAGCACGTACTCTCTGATGCTGAGGCGCAGGTCCGAGGCAGTCCTTGCGAACCATTTCCGCTTTTCTTGTACCAGGGTTTGCGTGACAATGGTAGTCTTGTTGTACATGTAAGTCTCATGCGACCTCGCTTCGTCGAGAGCAGAGATGGCCTCATCCACCTTCTCGCGGCGCACGCTGGAGCTCGCCTTGAGGCGGTCAGCGGCATTCAGTTTGTTTCTCGTCGTCTCCTGTGCTTGGATGAATTCCCGAATGAGGATCTGGCGGTTGGTCAGGGATTCCTTGACAATGAAGGCGTCCTGCGAGTGGTACTGGAAGGGGTCGCCAACTGTGGTTGCCTCAGCTGTTGCCTGGGCAGCATGGTAATCTCCAACTGTTTGTACCACCTTTCCAAGCTTTCTGTAGGCATTGGCAAGCCCCGGGTGAGGTTCTTGAACATTCATACTCCCAAGCTTAATCCCGTAATCTGATTCGGAGAGTCCAAGTCCTATGAATCTCGTTAGCAATTTGGACCCAGGCCTTAGTTAGAAGGCTGCGCTCACCTCTCCGGGCCTTGACAAGCTTGTCAACCTTGTGGCCAGCATCCATAGAACCAAGGTAAAAGAGCTTCACAGCCGGCCTGGCTTCCGCGAGCTCAGGGGTATCATCAGGCGGAGGCGCGAACTGCTTCAAGATCTTCCGTCGAACGCCCGTTGCAGGCTGCTTCATCTTAACCAGGGGACTATACCCAAAGTCGCTCTCGACGAAGAGCACCATTTCATCATCCTTCATCAATGCTTCGTTGCCGCAAACATAGTTGAACCATCTCTGCATTAAAGCCTTGACACGGTTCTCATCCTCATCCGTGCCTGCCCCCGCGGATGTGACGGCAGGTGGGACTGCTGGGACGAATGACTCCGGGCAGGAAGATATCAAGTGATCAGCGAGTTTGACGAACTCGGAGTGAAGACGTCGAACATCTCGATACTGCGTAGTGCGGAATCTTGGCAGGTTTGTCTGGGATATTCAATGTCAGTAAAGGTCCACATGACCAGGCGCGCACGCCGACCAAGAGCATCAGGCCACTCACGTATACATCGAAACGCAACACAGGGTCCTTCTTTCCGGTCCGCTCAAGGCCAGTGATCTTCGCTTGTAGTCGGTGCTGTGGCTGCGCTGGCTTTTGAGGCTGCTGGGCCTGGCCCTCTTGCGCAGGCTGGGCGCCCTGCGTCGCAGGTTGCTGGTTGATGTTGTTACCGGCACCTCCGGCCGGTGGCGGGGCATTCTGGAGAGGTTCGCGCTGTGTCTGGGCAGGAGCGGCGTCCTGAGAGGTTACAGGAGCTTCGAAAGTGTCGGGCTCTGCTTCTGTCTCGGATGCGGTGGTTGCGGTTCCCGGTCGTTGGAAGCCTTCGGGGGCTGAGGGATCTTGAGACAGCCCGGCGCTAGAGGATTGGGGGTTGAAGAATGGCGAGGAGGAGACGTCGCCGGCGAGAGGTCCAAAGCTAGAGGAGTCCTTCTGGGGCGACGTCGGCGGAGGGGGGCCCCAGGGCGAGGCCGCAGGGTCGTCCGTCTCGTGGATTGATGAGCTGTAGTCCATGGCGATGACGAGGTCGGAGATGGCTGGGCGGAGCTTGCGATGCTCGAACTACCAGAAGAACAGTCTTGGGAGGAAGACGGGGGATGGTAGAGGGGAAATTGGCGAGTGGGCGCGAAACCGAGTGTCGCGCATTCGACGGACAGCTCGTGGGTTGGTTCCAAAACTGACGTCGACAGTATTACTCGATTGGCATCGTCCTGACTGGCCCCCAATTGCTGCGTGCCTCTGACAGAGGCTGGCGGCGGTGGCGGGTGACCCTTTCGGCTTAGCAGGCCGCTGCTCCTGCTCAGTCGTCGGCGCAGTGGGGCCAGAGCCTTGGCTCGCTGTTGTAGAATCCTACTGCCTAACAATGCGTCGCAATTAACGATCCTCGAACAAGTCATCTGGGAACAGTGCTTCAGTTGACTTTTTATTTTCATTTTGGCAGAAATATAAGTAATTCTTCAAACCATCTTTCACGAAGGACTTTCAGATTACTAGAGCGAGAGGCGGTCACCCAACCTTCTTACTCTATAGTCCTTCTCCAAGTTGAACCAGGTATAAGTAAGAGTTCCGTTTGTCTTTACCACACCAGCCAAGACTGTAGCCTAAATTATACATAAAATAATCCATTCCCAGGTGAATGCTCTCCCACTAACAGCAAGGCAATGAGAAATGCCAGATATCAAGAACTACCTACTTTATGAATGATCGCAGCCGAGGTAGGCACAAGTTTGAACAGCGAGACGGAGATGGCAAGAAGCTCCATTGAGCGTTCTCCGCTTCAGGCACTTGATTGGCTACAATCACCAGCCGGCCTTATCGCACATAAAGGCTGCGGCTTATCGGCCCAGCTCCAGTTAGTGCGGGGCACCAAATTTTCTAAGTACAGCTGCCACCGACGTAGCGAGCTCAAGAGCTTCGGCCTTGAAATTTGAATAAACATTCCCGCCCCAGCAGCCTGTGTGTGATTAAACCTCAGTCTCATCAGTCAAACTAGCCTTTTCTCATCACTTTTAGTTTTTTATTTCCCGATCTTCCTTCTCAAGACACACAATGGGCAAAAAGAGATCAAGAGACGCAGAGGCCAAGGATGTCCCTGAGGACCCTGCAGTAGACAAGATGGACGAGGATAGCGATAATGATGATGAGGTAGGATATGAAGTCCAACTGATGATCTACCGACTGCGCTGACGCTATGGGCTCCTTAAAGGATTTTGACATGGTTAATGTTGACTTCGAATGGTTCAACTTCGACCCTGAAATTGACTTTCACGGCACCAAGTCACTTCTCAGACAACTCTTTGATGTTGATGGTAACCTGTTCAACATGTCGGCTCTAGCAGACCTTGTATTGTCGCAACCTACGATTGGGTCGACTGTCAAGGTAGACGGCAAAGCAACCGATGCCTATGCTCTGATGACAGTACTTAACATTGCCGAGCACCGCAACAAGGAGCCCATGAAGGAGATTTCCAAGTACATTGTAGAGAAAGCGAAAACGAACCCTTCATTGGCTGCCATTCCTGCCTTGATTGAGGGCGGGAAGCAGGTTGGACTGGTCATGTCCGAGCGTCTTATCAACGTACCATCGGAGATTGCCCCTCCCTTATACACCATGTTGTTGGATGAGGTTGAAGCTGCAGTAGAGGACAAGGAGCCTTATGAGTTCTCACACTATCTCATCATCTCGAAAACATATCGGGAAATAGAGTCAACTCTAGATGTCCAGGACAGGAAACGGAAGAAGGCTAAGGAAGAGGCAACCGTCTTCTATTTCCACCCAGAAGATGAGGTACTACAGAAGCATTCCGTTGCTTATGGTAGCTTCAACTACACCAAGGAGGAGGATTCCGTGGCGGACAGCAAGCGGGCATTCCAAGAGATGGGCATCAAGACTTTCGGACACATGATGTTGGTCGAGGCAGGCAAGATGCCTGCGGCTATCGAAGCAGTTCAAAAATACCTAAATCCAGGCCAATAATATACAGAGCATCTAATTCTCAGGCTCCAGCCTCTGCATCAAGTACTCAACCTCAACCTCCTTTGTCAGTGGGATAACAAAGTCTCTGTACATGGACACCACAGCGTCCACATTGATCTTGCCGGAGGCCTTGGTGCCCTCTGGCTGGAAGGGATCAGTGCCGTATGTCTGGGCCTTTAATCGCAGGCGATCCAAGACGATCTTCTCCACCGCGGGCTTCGTGATGGCCTCGGCGATGCCCTCCCTGTCCTCGGCCTTGATGAGGCGGGTGAACCTCTCTTCCTCGGATCTGAACTTGGATTCGGCGACCAGCTTTCCGAAGTGGATTCTGCGTGAAAGGGCCTGCAGGCAGGCGATATCGCATGTAGCAGTAGATCCGTAGTTCTCCTCCGACTCACCCCGGTCCTCTCTGCCGAAATCCGGGCAGACAGCCGGGAGGAAATTCTCAACATAGAACTTTTTGATCTTTTCGTTTACAGACACATTGTTCTTCCACAGGATCTTGGGGTAGTTGAGGGGCTTTAACAGGGGCTTCTGGATGGCATCGGGGAAGAAGGGATGCTCATCCGGAGACTCGAAGCGACGGATAAGCGATTGCAGCCTCTCTTGCTCTTGGAAGTACCAATCGAGGAAACTCAGTTCGCTATTGGGGATGTCTATTGCGCCAGGGATGTAGATGTTCTTTACAATGATTGGTGGGTCGTATCAGTAAAATATGTCCGTTGAGTTGAGATAAGTGTGTGGATATGCTGGCGAGGGGAGAGTGGAGGGGTGTAAATGCAATTCTCACCTTGTTGAGGGCAAACTGCACCCGTTCAATTAGATGGAAGGTGATGGTATCCTCGAGGCGGCTGGACCTAGTTAGCCGGCATGACAGATGGGTGCCACCACCAAATGGCGAGGGGTTGGGAGCGCAACACACATGAGTTGGAAGCGGATTCTAGACAGTTCCAAGGCCTTGGAGGCATCGGCCAAATCGACTGTGGAATCCATGGCAAGGAGAAATTGGAAGTAAGAACTCATCAAACTCCAGATATCAGTTCTACGAATTCATAGGTTGGAGAGAGTCGGGATCCGAGGGCAATTGGGACACGTAGGGAAAAACAGATGGGCTGCCGTTGGGCGTGCGAGAAGCAGTACGTGAGAATTTAACGCCGGTTGCCGGAGCTGTAGCCAGATGAGGGGCTGTAATGGAGGCTCTCAGCGGTGGTACAACCTCCACCAGCGGCTGGCCTAACCCAACGGGGAGAGCACCCAGCCCATTGCCGAGATAGATGGACGCTACAGCAGATAACCTACAGCCGGGCGAAGCATGGGCAACGTGGTGTTAGTTCTTCGACACCTCTGTGGTGGGGAGCAGCTTCGTTTATTGCATGTTTTGGGTAACAGTCGGAGCTTTTGCTTGTGCGTGTGTGTGCGTGTTTAGATGCTTGTTTGGGTAAACGTCAATAAGAGAAAATACTATGTAAGCAGCTGGGGTCCAGAAGCTCTGCGGTTTGGAGGGTCTGCTTTAGTCGGTGAGGAAAACGCAGTCTCTGGCGTGGTTAATAAGGGGAATGCACAATCAGGTGTTCCATGTGCTGGGTTACATCGCATTGCCAGTAAGGGTTTGCATGACTGTTAATCAAGCAGCTTGATCGCACAGTTCGTTCTCTGCTCGCGTGCTGATGATGATGGTCGCATGGACGCAGCCCTGGAGATCAAACTGGTCCATGCTTGCTTATCACCTGCCTGGAACACAGCGCATGATTCCCTACAGGGAGCCGCTAGCAGGCCACTAAGCCGGTCCAGGGCCTCGGGCTAGGTAGAGACTCGCCCGTAGTTTGTCGTGCCCCTGCACAGCATCCCAATGCACCGAGAACCTGAAACCTGCCCACAGCCTAGGTCACCACCCCCCAAAACAGCAAGCGATTGAATTGCAACCAAATTCTGATAAGTGTCGCGCGTCATTGGTGCATTGCCGCGGCCAGATACATCAAGTCCCGGGAAGCCCTTGTGCACGAACTCTGTTGGAATTTTCTCCCGAACAACATCACCTCTACGGATTCGTCGCGAGAAGGACCACAACCTCGGCCGCACCCAATTCCAATCTCTACCGGGGCTCAATCTTCCCGCCGGTAGCCATGGCTGACGCTGAGGGCCAGTACGGCTTCCCAGACGACGGCGCAGATGATGACCAGTCCATTATCTCGGTATGTTCGAAAGCAGCCAGCTGCACGCCGGCCTGGCACGAAGACCCCAAAGATACTGGGTGATTGATGCTGACCATGATCGTCATGCCCGGTACAGACCCGCGGTCTAGAGGCCTTCAGTCGCAAGGTCACCACTACTGCGAGCCACTTGATGGGCCCCCAATCCACCGATCCCTCTGCAAACCCGTACCATAGCGCAATGTCAGAAGTTCACAAGCAGCTCAAGCGACCTGGTGTCCAGCGGGGTGTCTTCTCCGTCGCCCGCACGACGCCGACCGATTTGGTGCGCTCCAGGCTATCAACAACCGAGATTCAGCACCGAGCCCTGACCTACCTCCCCGACGAGCTTCTGACAAACATCCCGGACCACCAAAACTCATATTCCCTGTTCCAGGGCTTCAAGGCCACTTTTCCCGAGCTGACGGAGGAGGGCAAGAAGCATCGGCGCCGTGCTTCTAGGGGAAGAAAACTGATGCTGGAAGATGCTCAGTCCGCCCCGGGAAGTATAAAACGGCTGCAACAACTGAAAAAGGACAAGGCCGCCATGCTGCACGAGTTCCAGCTCTTCGGTATCCGGAAAAGTATGGCTAGCAGCGAGATTCGGGAAATCGATAACAAAATCGCCAATCTCCACGGGATGAGAAGAATTATACTGGACAGGTTAGCTTCGCTGGAGCAGGAGGAGGCTTTGCTAGAGCACGAGAGTAAGTACCGGCACTTTTAGACCCACGTTCTGCAAGACGTCATGCTCACTGGCCTCGTAGTCGTTGAAATCGAAGGCCGACTTGAGGAGGCGCAAGTTTTGGCTGATGAGGCGGAGGAGATCGCTCGAAACATGGCTACTCAGGATGAAAAAGACTTGGTTATAGATGCCGACGACCACGAATTCATGTCACAATCAGTCTACGAAAAGATACCAGGATCATCAGAGAACGGACCCCGCAAAGCGAAGAAGGTACACCGCAAGATATCAATGCCTATCCTTCACGAGCACTTTGAAGCAGGATCAAGCATTCGCGAAATTCGGGCACACCAGGACAGCATCACCGCCCTTGACTTCGATGCCCCCTTTGGAACCATGGCAACAGCAGCATTGGACGATACAGTACGGGTCTGGGATCTGAACGCCGGCAGGTGTATGGGTCATTTGCAAGGTCATACGGCTTCAGTACGGGCACTGCAGATTGAGGATAATATCCTAGCGACAGGTTCGATGGATGCTACAATCAAGCTCTGGGACCTGAGCCGAAGCAGATACGATCCCCATGGAGGTCTCGGCAAGGACGATGCAGAAGAGGACGCCATTGCATGGGAAAACCCCGACGATCAACCTGTAGATCCCCCCGAGGGAAGCATGGATAACTGTGAACTTTATACCTTGAGGGCACATGTGGACGAGATCACGGCCCTTCACTTTAGAGGCGACGTCATGGTTTCCGGCTCAGCAGACAAGACGATTCGACATTGGGATCTGGAGAAAGGCCGGTGCGTGCAGACTCTTGACGTGATGTGGGCTGCCGCCCAAGCTTCAGCGACCATTGGCAGCGGAGACAATACATGGAGACCGACTGGGCGCTCATCCACAAGATCGGCAGATTTCGTTGGAGCCCTCCAGGTCTTCGAGACGGCTCTGGCATGTGGCACAGCAGATGGCATGGTTCGGCTCTGGGATCTTCGAAGCGGTCAAGTGCATCGAAGTCTAGTTGGACACACAGCCGCCGTAACCTGCCTACAATTCGACGATGTTCACCTCGTAACAGGCAGCTTGGACAGGAGTATTCGAGTAAGCTAACCTAACCCCTTTATCACACACGAAGCTCGTTCTCCCCCTTTATATTACTGCTAACGCCTTCTTCACTTACAGATCTGGGATCTACGGACAGGGTCGATCTACGATGCCTACGCTTATGATAACCCAATTACGAGCATGATGTTTGATGCCCGACGGATCGTCAGCGCTGCTGGTGAGGATGTTGTAAAGGTGTACGATAAGGTAGAGGGCAGGCAGTGGGACTGCGGCGCTGGCATCACCGCAGCAGAGGAAGGCAAACAACCTTCGATTGTCGAGCGGGTACGCGTAAAGGACGGCTATCTGGTGGAAGGTCGCCAGGACGGCATTGTCGGTGTATGGACGTCTTGATGTGTGTATGTGTATACGTATGTAATGTGTAAAACTTCCGCTCATGAGCGCCGCAATGTTATAGGCTCCAATCTTAGAGATGTTTCCCTCTTGCAGTGGAATAAATAATTATATTCGTCAAGTTACACGAAAGACAGAAAACCACCAACTCAATTTAGTTCACATGTTAAGATGGTAATGTCCTTAGTGCAAAGGAGGTTGGCGATGCGCCTCTAGGGTAGCGGCGTGATTGTTCTGATTTCGAATAGCATCATCACAGGCCCAAATGTTAGCCACCTTCAACAGAACCTCCTCCCTACTGGCAACAATCTAGGATATCCTTATTATGCCATGAAATTGCCTCCTTATCATGGAGTCCACTCAACAACGGCTACTACTCAAATATTGTCGGGCAGCAATTCTGATCTCTGGAGAAGCCCCAGCCGACCAAACGGCAGATGCCAAAGATCGGGACCTCGAAAGCAAGGCCAATCTCGCAGATTTCGCAGAGGGCGAAGCAACTCGGCAGTTATTAAAACGGCAAGCAAAACTTATTGCACAGGCCCACAGGGTATTACAGTCCCAAGATGGCACAGGCTCAAATGGCACCGTCAATCTCAAGCTTGTCGCCAAGAGATTGGACGACGTCTCATCCATTGCCATGTCGAAGTTCTACTCTTACAGGTATGACCAAGTTCCGGAGTTTTGGAGGCATATTTATACCGAGGCTTTGGTTCTGAAAACGCACTACCATTTGTTGGTCTCAGTTTCTGAGAAGTCGACAGTCTCCGAGGAAACTTTTGATCTGATGGTTGAGACCCTCGATAGGGCTCTTATTACAGCTGGAGGATACGGAAAGTATTTAAATCCAAAATGGATCGAAGATACCATATCATGCCTGGACCTTTTATGGAGGGAGGGCCAAAACACAGCCGAGGGGTATTCAGCGAAACAAACCGAAAATGAGCCCGGCAAGTCTGAGTTCCCTTTGACAGAACCATACGGCCGGCCGGCTCTACGGAAGGACAGGGAATGCCCTCGCCATCCGGGCTGGACGCTCGAGCAATTCGAGAACTGCATTAACTCCGGGAACGATCCTCAACCCATGGTCTTCCCGAATCTAATATGCGACTGGCCAGCGCTCCAGGGCTGCCCCTGGAAGAGCAGAGACTACCTCCTCTCTAAAACCCTAGGTGGCAGGCGTCTCGTCCCGGTAGAGGTAGGCCGCAGCTATGTGGACGACGGCTGGGGCCAAGAGCTCATACCCTTCCGGGACTTCCTGGGCAAGTATATTACCCCCCACGAGGCGGAAACCGGGGATGGTGCCCAGCCAGTTGGGTATCTGGCCCAGCATGATCTCCTGCGTCAGATCCCCGCCCTTAGGAACGATCTGCTCGTGCCGGATTTCTGCTGGTCGGATGCCCCCAAGCATCCCAGCGACCCGGCAATGGATCATCCCACTCTAGATACGCCGCAGCTGAATGCGTGGTTTGGGCCGGCAAAGACAATCACGCCGTTACACACAGACGGCTATCACAATATCCTCTGCCAGGCTGTGGGGGCCAAATATCTGCGGCTCTACCCACCGTCGGCCACGGCTGCCATGAGGCCACGGCCACCAGAGCACGGGGTGAATATGAGCAACACGAGTGCGTTGGATGTTGGGATCCTTGAAGGGTGGGATCCGCTTCCGGAGGACATGGATGAGAGAATGTTGGAAGAGGTTAGAGAGGAACTGAGAGGTGTTGAGTATACAGAGTGCATTCTCGGGCCAGGGGACGCCCTATATATACCAATCGGATGGTGGCACTACGTCCGGAGTTTAAGTGTCAGTTTCAGCGTCAGCTTTTGGTGGAATTGATGCAGCCGCTCTTGGTAGATGGGGGTATATTTATGTGGTTACTCTCAACCGGTAATTACTGGTAGTTGAGCTGATAGTTTCTGTAAATCATCTGGGGGGAAATGATAGGAAAGACTTCAACCCGGAACTGCATCCTCGACAGCGTCACCTCCTCCTTGCGCCTCCCTCCTTGCTTTCGCTCCAGCCTTGAGGGTCTCCCACTTTTCACGGTATTTATCCAACGTCTTCTGCATCTTTTTGTTCTCCTTCTCGAGCTTCTCAATGTGCCCCCTCATCATCGAATATTCATCATCCGCCACCTTGGCCCGGCTACTGCTGGCGTTGGATAGGGGCGATCCGGGCCGCATCATACGATAACTCTCAGCCATGTTCTGGGCGCTTGCCTCAAATGCATGCAGTCGCTTGGTCAGCTTGTCGAGCATATCCTTGAGGGACTTATTTTCTGTATAGAGCTCTTCAATCGTGTTGCTAAGTTCTTTATCCGTGCGAGCCCGCCCGACGCGGCGCTTCGCACCAGGGGAGAGAGATGTGGGAGTTTCTTTGGCATCCACGAAATCATCATCCTCCTCGTCGCCTCCCCCAAGCGAACCATGGCTTGACGCCTCCAATCGGCGTTTCTCTTTTTCAGCGTAGCTAAGGATGTTGGCATAAGAGATTGTGTGCCCACTGGTGGGGACGACATAAAAGGAGTCGCTAGGCGCAATTCCATCCTTCAGTATCGCATTCATTGTTGCCTTTGAAATGACCTTGGTGAGGTCCGGCTCCACGTTTGTTGAGTGAGTTGGCCGGGCACGATTGCTGGGTTTGCTTCGGGACGACTCTGGGGAGGACTGGGACTCCTCTGACAGAGTCGACTCTTCTTGGATCAAGGGCAGACTGGCAAATGCAAGCGGTGCGGAGATGCGATTGATGAGGCTACCGAAGGTGTTGTAAAATCGGTTGTACCCAGCATCGTCGGATTGTGCAGAAGCAACGTCTGCCGGGGAAGAAGCGACGTCTTTCCGCTTCTGGCGGGTCTTGTTGTCGTTCTTCGATGGGCTTTGCGCTGTTGGCGGGATCCAGGTCGGCTTGCCCGGCTGATGCTCGATGAGTGTCTGCATAGTGCTCTTGGAGCCGTCACGTCGCGGGTGAGGGTCGAGATTTCCCGGGGCCTCGTCGTTGGAGACGCTGGGGGTAAGGGGCTGCGCTCTGTATTTCGACCTGATTCCTCGAGCGGAAGCCAGGTTGCTAGCGATGGACGATGACATCTCCCGGGAGGCGATGCGTCGGGACTGCGGCAGGCCAGGTTTGGATGGAGACTTGGACCCCTGTGTTTCGCTAGATGCTTCCTTCTGCGAAAGCGAATGCACGGCATTCCCAGTGTTTTGCTGGCGCGCCTTCTCGTTGCCCGCGTCAACATCGTCGCCGGTCGCATGATGGGCAGGTTGATCGGCAGGGATGTTGAGCAGCTCGGCCAGCCGCCTGTGGTGTTCCTCCAGCAGCTTCAGGGTCCGCAGCGCCTCGATGCTCGATGTGCTCCGGGCAGCAGTCGCAAACTCCCCGGCTGCCAGTGTGTGCTCGTTGATGGCGACGGTGGTGTCGGCCGAGTGCCTCGTTGTTGCGACCGCAGCGGCACGAGCATGGTCGTGGGCTTTGATGAGGGGGGATGGCTCCATGATGCAGCAGCCGACAAGATGCTGCCTGACACGGGAGGAAATAGTACCGAGAAGCAGGTTCGATTTCGGGGGCAGATATAAAATATCTCCAGGCCTGGTCTGTTTTAGTGCCCATCCATGTGAGGTTGGATGGAACTATCCTCGGGTGTGTGGAGGATATGGTGACTTCGATATCTTATCTATAAAGTTTGGCCTTAGCTTTCCCCGGAGTACCGTTTGGTTGGTGGGGTGTGCGTAAAACTAATATCAGCCGGAACTGGTAGGTATTAACCAGCGACTAATGCATATCCCTGTAGGTGAGATCGAGGAACAGCACGGACGGCAGTACGCAGCTTGCCTTGAATACTAGCTCAGTGACCGACATACGCCGAGAAAGTTGAAGACATTCCATGATATTACCTACGCCCGGGAATATCTATATGCATCGGCAAGTGCCCGCATGTAGGTAGCTCTCAACATCTATCCCCCTAACTCATAGGAGGCTGGGTTGAAGTATAAGCGGTGTAGGGTATGAGTTGGTGACTCGGCAAATGTCATGAGACTGTCGTAGCACTGCCTGCAGTTCCTACTATCTTATGTAGTACCTGGTAGGTAGCCAAAAAGCTGCATCCGTTGTATAATAGGGATAATTACTAATATGCCAACCTAGTGCCCTCATCGTTGACATTGTACTTGGGACGAGCGTGGTCTATCACAGCAGCGACCAAGTTGGAAGGATGGTCAGTTCACCTGGTGGGGGTGGGGGGTTTCATGAGTTTGCCTTGATACATGCCTGCAACCATAGGCACCATCCAGGTTGTTATTTTTAGGTTTCTAACCTGCCGCAGGGAAGGTAGTAGGCTAGGCAGTGAATCCATTCTCAACCAAAGCCCACGAACGGGCTTCGAGCCCATTGAGCGATCCGGATTCTACATGTAATAGGCTGAGATGCCTCTCGTCTTGGGGCGCTCGAGGGGCTGGGCAGTTGCACCAGTTTAGCCTCTGGTTTATAGGCGGTAGTCTGGGTTGGAATAACGTACGTATACCCCGATCCCTGCTGGCTTACATGGGATGGATGTTTTCGTCCTAGCGTCATTGCCGCTCTTGTTCGAAGCTGAGTCTGGGAACTATCGAAAGAGAAATGAATTATATCCGTGATACCATCAGAAGTAAACAAAGAAGACTGGCATAAACCGATGATTTACAGAAGCTAGGCAGGAAATTTAGGTTGGAGACGGTCGATGGGCCAAGGTCGGAGGTGATTTTATATTTTTGATATCCCTCCGGTGAAGGTTGAGGACTGGTTGGGATGCACCTGCACGTTTGCGCAAGCGGCCAGCGGCCTGAGACATGTGTATTCTCGATGATGAATAGCAAGATCTCTGGAGCGAGAGTGTTCAGAGACGGAGCCGAGGCTATAATTGGCTATGTGAGAGGGCCGTGGTCGCTTTCATATCATCGTCTAAAAGGTTGATGGGTGAGATCGGTGTTTAAAGCGGCGTTGCTCAAGCAGCAGGGCTATCACACACTGCCAGCCCGGTAGGATGGATGCCTGCTAGGTCCCACCCCGGTTAGGGAGGTGAAGCCAGTGTGTCCCAGGTGCCATCCGCGAACCGGCCAGGACCGCTAGAAGGTGGCGGGCAGCGAGGCGGGTTCTCTCATACGAGCCACCTTTTAATGTTACCACCAATCCATGCCGTGTCGATGGGTGCTTCTCCACCAGACTTCATCAGCCTTCGCACCAAGCTAGGTTTCTACACTCTCACCCTGCATTTATCGTCTCGCTTGCCCTCTCTTTCTTTTCTCTCTCTCTTCTGTTTTAACAAAAACTAGCGCGCCCGACAACCAAAGTAGAGAGGACTAGTTTTCCTTCACTGAGACAGTGTTGACTATTCTCCGCTGTCGAGAGAAGGGCTCTTGTACGTCATTGACTTGGGGTCTCGCATTGTGTTCTAGGACTCTCCTCAAGAGCGTCGCATCTACTCGTTTGTTCATGCACTAGTCGCAAGCAAGCCGCGCTCCTCATTAGGATACGGGGAGATCGGCTGCGGCAATTGGGACTTGCGGAACTTGCCTGAGCTGTCCCAGGTGCAATGGAACGCCAACTCACTCATACAAGCAGCAGGGAGGGCCTGAGCAAGCTGCTGCCAAAGTCGATATCAGAGAGGCGGCTGCGGCGGTCGAAAAAGAAGGGGGAAAGGGACCATGACCCAGACCGCACACTGGAGAGCGATGGGGCCTCAATAATGGTTGACGATGACGACGACAGCAGGAGTATTGATGGACGCAGTTTCGGTTCATTTGAATCTGGGCCAGAGCCTGGCTCAACGACCGCCTCATCACTAAAGGACAGCTCGGCAACTTCACGAGCCAAGTCAAGGTCAGTCAGTACCTTACCTTACCTTTTCAATTCATCGTGGCCCTATACTTTCCCATCCTCCTCATGCCAGCCCACCGTACCCAGCTGGGGTGAAACCTCCATGTCTTGCCTTTCTCCCCGTCAGCCCGTTGCATAGACCACGTGCACAATTTATGGTTGATGGGGTTGCTGGCGCTGGCAAGCTCACAGCTTGAGCGTTGGGGTCTTCGATACCTACGTCACAGTGGCACCGCCGTACTGCTTATCAGTACAGTGTACATCAGCCTCCTCCCAAGTCCCAACCAACATGCAACACCCCATCCCCTTTCGCCAGCTCCAGCTCCAGCTCCGTCGCAAACCATCGTTCGTGTTCTTTTGCTGGGGTTCTATTCAATCCGTTCCTCAAACCTACTTTCGCTTTCCCTTCAACCCTTTGCGATCTATTTACCCTGCTTATTATTGCCCCTTGAAAGTTCTTTGGATCAGCATAGCTGGGACTCAGCCCGTCCCGTTGCTGCTGCTGCCCCCATCAACGTCTCTAACACCAACGCCACAGATCCCCCTCGCGGCCGGCAACGATCTCACCGCATCCCTCGTTAATCGGGTACCTGACGACATCATCACCCGTTGTTCAGGCTACGCATATCGAACCCCGGGCGCAGCCGCTCTCACCGATCAAATCAGCTGATCTGCAAACATTGACACAGACGCAATCCGCACCTGTCGACGTGCCCGCAATAATCGAGCCTCCCGGTGTCTATCAACCTGCCACTCCCAACAACAAGCGATTGCCAGTTTCTAGCAGAGTCGCGCACATATTTCCAACCCGGCCCGAAGCGCCCTCCCCAACCATTGTCAGCACTCCACCGACTCCCGACTCTCCATCACACAAGAGGTCGACCTCGACCACCCCTGTCAGTCCGAGTGCTGATGGCCCCAATTCTCCGCGATCTGAAGCTCACAAGAGGAGCACATCGGCTTCTGCGGCAGTAGGACCTAGCAAGCTCTCCAGCATTTCGGCATCGCCTTTATCGCCAACGGCAGAAGACGGTGGACCTGACCCTGGTAGTGCTACTGGTACCGGTTTTTTCTCGTCCATGTTCTCGGCTGCCCAAAGCGCAGCAACGAATTTGAGCACAAACATACAGAATTCTGGACTCGGAATTGTTAGCAACAAACCGCGGCCGGCCCCGGGAAAGCAGCAACAAACCCCGGAAACTCCAGATCCTTCCAGGCAAGATCCTGAGCCGGTAACAGCACTATCACCTAAAATGGACCAGAGAGATTCCACGTTGCGAACGATTGGGACGGGTGATCTCAGCCTGAGCCAGCTCGGCATTGACGAAACGTCCAGCCCGATTGGCTCACCTTCCACGGCCAAGTTTGCTGATGCAGACACACGAGCTCGTTCTGAATCTGCGCCAGTAGACACCCAGCTAAGTGGCGAGGAAACGCTGAACGAAGAGCCCTCCAGTCGGCCACGGTCATTTAGTGAGGCACAGGATGGGGAAGCCAGCCCGATCGTGGCTGATTTTGACGACAAGGGCCTTGGCCGCAGTGCCAGCGTCCGAACAGCGAGCCAAGCATATCATAGAAGGGGAAACTCGAACGGGATAGGTGGCAGCACTGTGACCCTCGGCGCGCCACCCCCAGGGAATGGCCTTCCTACTTCCAACTCGAATTTTAGTACACCCAAGCTCACTGGATTCGCGATTGCGAGCAAGAAGCGGAATCGCGATTTCCATGCGATATTCAAAAGCGTCCCCGATAACGATTACCTGATTGAGGATTACAGCTGCGCTTTGCAGAGAGAGATCCTTGCTCACGGTCGTCTCTACGTCTCGGAGGGCCATCTCTGCTTCAGCAGTAACATTCTTGGCTGGACAACTACTTTGGTGATGAGCTTTGACGAAATTGTATCCATGGAGAAGAGAAGTACGGCCCTCCTTTTCAAAAATGGTCTTATGATTTCTACATTGCACTCGAAACATGTATTTGCAAGTTTCACCAGCCGAGATGCGACATATGATCTAATTGTGAATATCTGGAAATTGGGCCATCCCACTTTGACCAGCACACTAAACGGGGTTCGCTTGGAGGGAACAGGAGGCGACAAGACCGAGAAGGAAGACTCTGTAAAACCATCGCAGTTGGAGACTGAACCCCAAGAAGAGTCGGATAGCGAGGAGAGCAGTGATGACGAAGGTGACGAATTTTATGATGAAGAGGAGCATGAAGAAGCTCCTGTCAATGCTCCAGTAGAACCCAGCGGTGAAGGGGAGGTCGAGAGGGCGGTGACAAGGAAAGCATCGGGGATGACAACAGGAACTGTTGTCACCACTGCGCCACAAGGCAAGGACGGTGCTTCTCCAAACGGACCTGCCGATTTCCCCGGTCCACTGACGCATGCCCCTACAGAGTGTGGTGATGCTGGGACTCACTACGATAGGGTGGTCGGCGATGATGTGATCCAGGCTCCTCTGGGCCAGGTTTATGGCATCATATTCGGCCAAGCATCAGCTACGTGGATGGTCAAGTTCTTGACCGAAAATCAGAAAGGAACCGAGCTCCAATTTGAGGATAAGAAAGGTCTCAGCCTTGATAACAAGAGCCGGACATATACATTCATCAAGCCACTATATGGTTCTATAGGGCCGAGGCAAACCCGGTGTACGATTACAGAAACAGTGGACAACCTTGATTACGACAAGGCAGTCAACCTCAGCGTTTCAACGCAAACCCCTGATGTCCCAAGCGGCAACGTCTTCGCGGTCAAGACCAAGTATTGTCTTTCTTGGGCAGAGAATAACGCAACCCGTGTGCAGATCAATTGCACAATCGAATGGAGCGGCAAGAGTTGGCTCAAAGGCAAGTTTTTTTTTTTTTTTTTTGTTGGAGATCACCAATCTACTGATACTAACAGGTTCCCGCAGGTCCGATTGAGAAAGGAGCCAATGACGGACAAACACAGTACTGCAAAGAGCTGTTTGCTGCCATCAGGTCCACCATTTCATCTAGAGGACGGTCAGGAACGGGCTCGAATGGAGCGACAGCCAAGCCGAAGAAGAAGAGCAAGAAGAATAAGATCAACCAACTTGCTTCCGAATCTGCCGAAAAGGGAAGCGTCCCTCAACCCGACACCAAGCAAAGCTGGGGTGCACTCGAGCCTATCCGGGTGGTGGCGGAGCCGCTCTCAGATATCATCAAACCCCTTCTCACAGGAAATGTCATGTATGGTCTCTTGGTCGGCTTGTTGGTGTCAAGTTGGTTTGGGTTTGGCTTGACACCCGGGAGGAACCATCCTGGTAATGGCATCGGTTTGGACGGGCCCGACCGTCTGATTGCGTACGAGGAGATCTGGAGGCGAGAGGACAGCGAGCTTTGGGATTGGTTAGAGGAACGAGTTGGACTGGAGCGATTGCATGATGCGGGAGGCAATCCTCGTAAGAGGGCAACGCAACCGCGGGTGTTTGAGCAGAAGATGAGGGCGGATCGGATGGACGCCAGAGAAGTCGAAGAGGCGATGAGGGTGACTGAGGAGAAACTACGGATCCTGCAAGAGGCGGTGGATAGGGCGAACCAGGCCCCTATCAAGAGCAGCTGAAGAAGCATCACCAGCGTACCGACAGCCATGGTCACCACACTCATTCATGTGCCAGGCCTGTCGTTGTTTCATGGACTAGCATTGTTCCAATTTTCCTTTGGTCATTTGTGGCTCCATTTAGAGTCATCTACATATACTAGATACCTTATATAAATTTCGGCAGCATCTTGAAGCGAATATTATATTTAACGTACATGCTCTGTTTCTGAAAACTGGCCTTCTGCAAGTACGGGACTTTGGTATGGGGAGGGTGGGATAAGCCAAGCAGAAAGGCGCATCAGGCCACATCGGAATACCCCAAGGAGGTAACGCAAGCAAAGAGCTTTTGATGTTTGAAACCACTGTCAGCATGTATGACTTTGGCTCCCAACCTATCAGATCTCGGGAAGAGGAGCAACTCCAAATGTGTGGCACGGGAAGCTGTGTGAACGAGGGTGTCCCCGGGACATGTGGCAGGGGAGCTGCACGTCTACTTCTGCACATAATAAGTAGTACGACGATGTGTTATGCAGAGTGCTTCCTGCGATAGGACTGATATGGTAATATCAACATGATAAATAACAGTACATTAACTCTTAAATATTTGTGACTGGCGCTCAATAATCAGACAATACCGGAGGTCGCAGACTCGAGAATAAGCAGTATGATGATTTGGTGTATCAATTTCATGTCACTTGGTTGGGTGGAAGGCAGACGTTCAAGTTAGTATGACCCGTGCTGACCAAGGGTACCTCCCTAACTCAGTAGGTCCTACTGCTGTCTGCCTTGAGGAGCGAACTAAAATGCCACAGTGGCTACTAATCGGTTCTGCTTCTTTTCGTGGCTCCAACCTCGACCTATAGGCTGCGGGATACCTAGGTTCCAGGCCTGGCCTTGCTACGCCTATACTCGACGCGATCCGGGGAGAGGGTGTAGGAATGGTGATCAAGAAATCTTCATCTCAACTCAAAGCCCAAGATGAACGGTTCCGGGAGCCAAGGGAGGTACGTAATAAGCAAGCGAACAGGGGAATGGGAGGTGGAGGGGGGCGTGCAGCTGGCTGCTGCTGGCCGTGTGGAGGACAGCAGCAGGCAGCCCACCCCTACCTCCAGACATACATATGTATGCATATGGTGTGAAGGAGGTGAGGTGTGCCTTGGGCCAAGGGGCTGCGATTACGAGACCGTAGGACCATTGAGTCTGCCTTGCGCAGGCCGCCGCCTTGCCAGGCCGCCTTGTGATTGGACGGGGCTGGCTCGATAACGGAGCCCCCCGTCTCCCCTCTGAAGGCAGCACGTAACAGGCTCAATGGAACAATATTATGTGACGCCAGGCCGGGAGCACTGCATGTTTGTTGCCCGGTGCTTTGGGGCTTCCGTCCTTTTGGTGCCATTGCTTGCCTACATACCTACCTACCTACCTACATACATGCATGCTGCGTTGACTCTGTAGCTGTGTCCCTACTGACCACCCGGCGCGCACCCTGGTCAAGACCTCAAGTCCTGGATGGGGTTGACGAGTCCTACCCTCGATCCGACGTGCCAGTCTCGCCGACAAGCATAGCCATAGGTAGGACCTGCCTCGATCGCCCGTCTACCCGTATCTTGGGGCATGTTCGTGATTGCTAGCGCATTGTCTTCTCTTTCCCTTCTCGTTGTCTGAGCATATTCTACGCATAAGACCCCTCTCCAACCACACCAAACAGGCAGCGTCATGAGTGGTGGCGGATAAGACTCTCCCTCTGATCATCTCATCTCATCTCAACCCTATCGATTCGACGTCGACCTTTTCCCCTCTTGTAGCCCTACACTTGCCTAGGTATTCAACGGTTAGACAAACGCAATGGAGAGCAGGTGGCGGTCCTCACTGGAGGACTCGGGTGGTGCAGCCTCAGCCCTACGGCGTCTCACGCAAACTCCGCGTCTTGGTCTGCGACGCCCCAGCTCAACAACGAGCTCGGCATCATCCATTGTGTCCCACGATCACACCGATGAGCAGTTGCAAAACTCCTGCGTGTATGTATTCCCCATATCTCCATCCTCTTTTCGATCCTCTGGACCTGCCTCGCTCACCCCCGCGCCCTTTGTTAGGTCCCGCGAGACGTCACAAGATGACTGCTCCTTCAATAGATTCATGGTTTGGGCGGCCGTCAAGCGAAATGCTTGCCAGAGGATGACGCCTGAGGAGAGGAGGGAGTGTCCCTTGCTGCGCTGTCGCAAGCGCTTCCCGGATCATGAAATGATGCTCCAGCATCTGTATGTGTGCGACCAGCTCGTCGCCGGCGAGTACTGGTGCTACGAGTGTGCCAAAGTCGAGCGTTTCACAGACCCCAAGTGCAAGAAATGCTGTCGCCAATCATCTAGTAAGAGGAAGAAGATTATGTTCATGGCCAAGAATTTCTTCAGCTCTCTGGGCCATCGGTCAAGGACCGGGAGCCTGCTGGACCTGAGTTTGGAGTTTGAGGATGGCCACCTAAGCTATCGCGACTCCCTGGATGACATGCCCACAGGATCGTCACAAATCGAGTTGCAGGCTAACGAGATTCATGAAATCGACTCGCACGAACTGCCCCTCGACACCATTCTGGAACATGTGCTGTTGGAGGAAGACGGAGGCCAGGAACAGTGTCCAGACGGACCACCACCCGAGATTGCGCTCCAGCAACCCCAGCCGACTCCTCCACCAGTGTTTGCTGTACCCAACTTTCCTTCAACAGTCCGCCCTGCCGAACTGGAGTCTGCCTCGACGATTATCGGAGGTCCAGGCTTGGTCCATGATGAGGCAACAAGACTGCCCACAATCACACCAGCGGCCTTGATCAATCAGAATCACGGTAGAGAGTTTGAAAAACCTAATCTCCAGCTGTACACGTCTGCTACAGAGCTGCACCAGTATCGGGCCCAGAAGCGACGAAGCAAGAACCTTGCACCAAGCTCGTCCGTCCGATCCACCGCAAGTACCGCGAGCACCAACAGCACATCGAGCACAGGGAGTTATGATATCTCCCCAATGTCTGCCTGGTCGGGTGCTTGGGCCAGACACTCAGGGTTGGAATCGACCCTAACTTCGCCTTCCGATGAATTCGATCCAGAGATGCCCTTCGATATTCCCAATAAACCCCTTGGACTGAATGAGACAAATGAGGACTGGCAAGGAGACAGCACTATCCCAACAACGTTGCTCGCAGAACTTCCCGCCGATGTCCCAATGATCGATATTTCCGATGCTTCCCAGTCGCTTCCCAGTAGCTTGGATAGCTTTTTTACACCTCAGTTGACACTTGATATCTCCTCCACTCTTGACCTGGCCGCTGAGTTGGGTCTCAAACAGCCCGACCTTACTCATTCCAACCTTACTCAGACCGAGACGCCCGCACCCCGTGTCGAAGTTCCGGCTGTAAGAAAGTCGCATACCAGTGCGAACTCGCTTGTATCCACCACATGGGAGGCCCTTAGCATGCACGTCGTGGAGTCAATGGAAAGAATCCGCCTTGTGGAACAGAACCCGCTCGTAGACAAACTCTGCAGCTTGTCTCCGGACGCTGTCGGGCTTGCCGGTCTTGAAACTCTGAAGAGAATATTAGATGGAACTCCGGTTGATTCGGCTGTCGATATTCTTTGTTTTGTTCACCTTATTTATTCGTTCTACCTGGTCATCCATGAGAAGGATGCTCCAACCCGAGGCACCAAGCTATTCACACAAGCAGTATCGTACGCATCGAGGCTTCGAGAGGATCGCCAAGCTTATCTTACTATCGTTGATCTACTGTGGAAACCAAGCGACATGAAGCACGAGGAGGTTGTCGGTATCATTCGGAAAACATCAACATCTTCGCGAACCAAATCTCTCAAAGGACAGGAACCTCTCACCGTGTGCGAGTCCCCGCTTGATGACTCTCTGGTATTGGTCGCACGATTCTTCTTAGATGGTAAGCAGACACGACTCATCCGAACGACCCATTACTAACACTTCACAGAACTTGAGTATTCTGCCCTTCACGAGTCGTCTCGTACCGAGATCCAAAACTCCGATTTGTGTATCCAACACATTAGCGAGGCAAGCCTCTCCCTACACGAGAATCCGTCATTCAACGTTGCCGTCCAGTACCTACGGCAAGCACTTGTAAAAGAATATGCAGACGCTCCGACATTCGTTGAGCAGGTCAATGAACTTCTGACCTCAAGACTCACCAGCTCTTGGCCAACTCCACGCCAACTGGAGTTGGAACTGATGAATATTGGAAAGGTGAGAAACATTCGCTTCCCTAATTCTCGGATAAAGTACATACTCATCGCGCATCGTGTAGGCTTCACTTGATCCCGCTCGATACTTTGACCACTTTGTTCCTACTGTTCGCTCACACGTCGACTTGAATTTCGCCATCATATCGGATCAACATTCGATGAGATTACTCTACCACAAATTGGGAGTTTCACTTATCGAGTTAATTGTCCGGATGTCAAGAGCCAAGGATATGCAAGCGAACGAAGCAGCCCATTCCACGTTGCAATCAGACACGATCGACGAGTTCATTCAAATCCTCACACCAAGTTTAGACAGCTTTAATCTACAAAAAGACTCAGATTTCGACGCCAACTTCTTTACATTTCAATCAGGAAACATTTCGGATTCATCTGTCACGCCTGGCGGCCCCTCGACTGGGCCAGTACCGTCTACTGCAGCAACATCACCGCCTTCCCCAGAGCATGCTTCTACGAATGGTTCCAAGATGGAGTCTGATAGCTGTTGTGGAATTTGCGGCTACCGTCCAGAGGGAGATCCTCGATGGTTCCCGGGAAGCATGGCCAAGCATAAGAAGCTGCAGCATGCAACCACACCACCAAGGATCTACCGTTGTCCATATCCAGGGTGTACGAGCCAGTATAAAAACCGCCCAGACAACCTCAGACAGCATCAGATAAAGAAGGGCCACTTTGTAGATGGGGATGAGGAAGTTAGCCGACGTCCATCGAAAAGAAAGAAGATTGGGACCTGACAATTCAACCTGACGGAGGCGTGATCCTCATCAGCACTCTGCTGCAAATTCTTCTTTCAGATTTCGGGAGCTCTCTGTGTCCCGTCTCTTTATCAGCATGCTTTTTGTTTACGACCACTCATTGCAATTTTTTGGATTTTCTTTTTCTTTGCAAGATACCATTTTAATAGGGCGCTTTTTGGGACAGCGGAATAATACCAGGCACATTCCTCGACTTGGATATAACGAGGATAAACTAGCTAAAACAGCTTCACTGAAAACAAGCTACGAAAATATGAATCAATCAATATGTGGCTACGCACCACATAGGATAAATATATATCATATCATTATTCCTTGTATGATGTGTGAATGCCTCGAGAAAAGCTGTACGGAGTGAGGCTGCTGGGTGATGAGAGCCAAGTACTTTAGTAGGTGTCGTCTGGCCTCATGCAGTAATACTTACTATCTGCCGAGCCCGCGGAAGGAGCCTACAGGTGGGATCTGTCCTCCAAGAGTGACGCTGTCTGACCACAAATGAAAGGATTCCATAATCAAGCCGAGTCAGTCCACACCGTATTTGTTGCATTTACCTTTCGGCCCCATAAACCTTCTCAATAATTCATTCCTGGTGCTTGGTGCGGTCTGGGGTAAGTACGTATGATTAGCTCCAACGGACGAGGATGGGGTTGGCCCTCGGATCCTGGCCTAGGTATTTTGATCATTCACCTGCACCAGGACCACGTAGTTATGTATGTCCTCGGTGCGAGCCAAAAACATGCATGGATCGAAGAGGCAAGGTCCAAGGGGCCAGGATGGCAGTCGTAGAGGTAGGGAGCTGAAGAGTAACGCACGGGGCGGGCGGGATGGATGGATGCGT